GGGTGCAGCACTATTATAGTGATTCGAAGACTGTATTCATAGTTTCTTCAGAGCTTTTGGCCAAACAGACCATTTGCAATAGATCTGGAGCCAAATTAATGAAGTTATTGTGAGATTGAGACACCTTGATGATGTCTTCTAGCACTGAAACTCTGGCCTCAACTGTTAAAGAGGGGACTTGGTACTGTTTTAGTACCTAGTAGTTCTAGTTTTTAGATGGTTTTTATTGATAACGTGTTTTATTTCTGCTCTTAACCATATTTATTTGCAGATGTCGCACATCCGCTTTGATAAACATCTTTTTAGACGCCAACATCTCTCCCGTGCTTACATCTTGGTGCGATGAAATAATAGTTCTGTCCGGTATTGCTGTGCAGGTTGAGTGACCTTGGCTAACCGCAATATACAAAAATCCACAAGAGATCCGATTTTTTTGCATCTGTTCTGAGCCTAGTGAATAATAAATATACTAAAATGTATTTCAAAAAGTATACTATACAATTACGTATGTATGTGCTTAATAGAAATACCCTGCAATTGTACTTTTAGTATACTAAATTGATAAACTTAAAGTCTGCTAAATTGGAACAACTAATTTTGTACTTAATGCACTTTAGTTATCCGGAAATAGTGCTGAGATCCAACTAAAGATACACTGAAGTATATTTGATTGTGCTAAAGTGGAACTATTGCAAGTATACTTCAGGTACACTTTAAATATCTTGCATTTAAAGACTAATATTATACAGAGATCATACTATACTAATAGTGATAGTGCATTGTGCAATAAAGAAGTACTCCAAATAAAGTTTTAATTATAATATTTATATCAGTAAGTGTCAAGCGATATGTCAGTAAATATGTTAATGGATTTGTAGTATACTTAGGAAATAAATGTATTTTAAATGCATTTTGGTATAGTTTTTTTCACTAGGGGAGTCACTTCCAAATGTGGTTTTAAATCAGATCACCGGGAGTGTTGTTATACAGGGTCAGTTGTAACACTGTCAGTTTGACAAATCAGAAAAGAGCTGTGGTGATGTCATCAATATCATACACTGTGAGAAGAGCAACATTGTACATTTTATGACCAAAAAAAATGATTTTCATGAAGGAAAGTATTTTTTTTAATCAAGATTATTTTTTGCCTAGCAATCAAGCATAGATACAGTTATTTGACGTGCATAACCTAAAGTAGCCATTTTTTTAAAGTTTAATTTGATGCTTTGCATTCATGCTAACTTCAAACCCACATGCTATAAACGTTAGCTATGTTAAGGCTGTTTGGGGTGTGTATAGTTATAACAGTTCATTCAAAATGTTTCAACCAACCCCTTATGATGATTCTAGTTATCATTCAAATCCCCTGTTAAGACAAAATCATGTATTTTATTGTGCATTGAAGTATTTATGTGGTGAATATGTTTCCATCATAGTTTATGCACAACATTACCTTCGTCATTTGAGCACATGTGATTTTTTTGTGCACATTTTTAGAATTGATGCGCATCTCTGCGTTTCCATCCAAAGTTTTTTATGTGATGTTCCAAAATTCATATAAAAAATAGGTGGATGGGCAACATAGCTTGTGACTGAATGTGCCAGGAATACAGTACACACACACAGCAGTTGTTTTGTGATAAATTTAAAGTCCTTAAACAAATACAACACAGTGTTGTTTGTTCCTTTAAATTGTTCACTTTATTCAAAACTGATTATTCTTTGTAAATTTTGATAGTATGGATCTTATTTCAGCAAATTAACTCTCATTGTTACATCTATCCCCAGCTAGTGTTACAAACTCACACCGGTAGTGGGGTAGGTTGTAACAGCGCAACTCTTTGTCTTTAAAGGGGTCATATAATGGTACATGCACTTTTACAAGTTGATTGTACTGAAATGTGTGTTGGCAGTGCCTGTACACAACCATCATATAATGATAAAAAAACCATCCAGTGTTTTTGTTTTAATCTCCTTATATGTTTTCCCCTGCCTCAAATCGAGCCGTTCGAGCCTGTGACGTCACAAGCTCGAACGACCCTCCCGCGATTGTTGATTGACAGGAGAGTTTCAACACAGACCCGCCCTCGCTCATGAGGGAGCTGTCAATCATAGTCTGCGCGGACCGCCGCGGTCATTGTTGATATGCTGGAGCACTGTCTATGAGCAGAATGGCGTCTAAGCGATTGTGGTGTTCTGTTCTTGGGTGTAATAACGAACACAGTCATTTTAATGTTCCTAAATCCGAACCGCTGAAGACGCAGTGGCTGAGTTTGTTTTCGAAGGGAATATTCCCCACGAGCAACGTCAATGCGTTCATGTTTGCGCAAAATAATTTCACACACCAGACTGCTTTATAAACGATGATCAGTATAAAGCTGGATTTGCTATGAAGCTGCTCATGGATAAAGGATCGGTACCAGATATTCGTGTTCCTGCTGAATCTCCAGAAGAACGGAAGTGAGTGTAACGTTTTATTAAACTTTATATTAATATATTAATCTTTGCAAATCGCTAGCTGCACGCTTTACAATGAATGCGTCTACACTCAGGGTACATTACGGCATGTTTTCTATGTATGACGTTCTCAATATAATTCATAATCCCACGTCTATAATGAACAACGCGTTATGGTTATTGTGTTATTGAGTTACAAACGGTGTACGCACAGAACAGAGAGGCGGGGTGAGCAAAGCTCATTATCATTTAAAGTCATATACACTGAAACGGCGTGCTGAAAACAGAGCTGTTTTTGACCAGGTAAAATAAGTGTTTTCTTACAATACTAATGAGAATTTTTAATTAAAGTATATTACAAACTTTTAATTTAGACCCTAAAGAATCATATTAGCTTGTACAAAAATGGCATTATATGACCCCTTTAACATAAATTCACATAATCTGCAATGTGTAGTACACGTCCACATGAGTTTTATTTGTAGCATACAAGCGTATCAAATTTTGAGATATATACCTCAAACAACCAATGAGTTACTGATGCTCAAACAAAAGTGTTTTATCCCTGGTCTCCCCAAAATCCGATATCTGGACATCAGACCTGCGTCTAAACACATATCCGATTCCCTTTGGAAATCCCAGCCACCACAAGGCGAATTTGACACTTTTGCCCACAGAGATCGCTCTTGAATGCGGTATTATGAAGCAGACGTGCCTGTATGCGCTCGCACGAAAACTCACAACCTTTTTAACTGAGGTGGAAACTTTATAGTTAAGAAATGCCACACACACAGAAACATTTAGTTGCATAGAAAGTGGTTTTTAACCTCTGCCCTGTGAATAAAAAAATACAAATAAAACATGCAGCTTTGCTATACATTATTGGCAATTTCTCAGCAATTAAGAGATAACTGTGTTGTTTTTGTAACTCTCTCTCTCTCTCTCTCTCAGCCATTTGTAGGTAGATTCCTTTGAAATGTGTAAACACAGTGACTCCATCTAAAGATTTATTGTACTGTTTGAGTATCCTGACACAGAATTCCTCAGAAATTACACACATCACCTTTAAGGTATTATTGCTTTATTTACTATTACAGAAATTTGCAGTAACCATAAATTACTAGTAAATGAATTGTCTTTTTTTTAACCATAATTTAAGATACAAGAATGTTTTCTCTCTACACAAATTGTCATTGTTTATTATGTAAAAAATGTGTTTAAAAATCTCAAACTATCAAAGGCTTGAAAAATAATGAACCAATACATTTAAAAATCAACCCCAGTATGAAGGACATAAACTGTCATATATACATTTTCATTCAGGATGTCTTGATACTTTTTAAGCAACCCAGTTTTAAGAAAGATTTGTTAATTTAGTCTACATATTACTAAACTGCTCATAGAATCTGGACTTGAACTGAAGACATTTAAATGCTTTGACATTGTGTTGTTTACATTTTACATTTATGCATTTGGCAGACGCTTTTATCCAAAGCGACTTACATTGCATTTCAAGGTACACATTTACATTCTTATCAGTTGTTGCTTTCCCTGGGAATCGAACCCATGACCTTAGCGTTGCAAGCACCAACGCTCTACTGTTTGACCCACAGGAAGGCTACAGAAATCATTTTCATAATTGTAATTTCTGTTTGTTCCCCTTCTGAAAAGACAGGTGGTAAATCAGTATGATCAGTATGATACCGGTTTTGCATGGTTTTGAGTCTGGTCAAGCTGATGTACCAGCAGAGCCAAGATGCTGACCAGCAAAACTAAGATGGTTTGATGTACATCTAGTAGACCTTGCTATAGTGGAGCTAATGAAGCAGCCTGGTGGTACCAGCTTCCCATGCTGGGGACGAGGGTTGCACCAGCCATTGGCAAGTTTTTCTACTTTATGGGATAATTTTAAAAATAAAAATAGTTGGTTTCACTTTATTTGGGATGGTCCCTTTAACACATTCAGTTGACTTTAAGTAATATTGAACCTACATCTCTACTAACTCTCACTAGAGTATTAGTAGACTGGTAGGGTTAGGGTTAGAATAAGCTGACATAGATGGGAGTGGAAAGCTCTGCTCGTGATCTACTGACAATGAGAAAATTAAAGAACACAGACATCGTCGGATCATTTCCATAATGACCAACACAACTTAGCAAGAGCAGTGCAAATTTCTGGGTGGTAAATAATGGCGCAAACAAACCAGTAAATTGACTTTTTCAGCGCTAATTTCTCACTGGCTGTCTTTGGTAAATCCTGACAATAGTTTTTTAACGCCAAAAGAGGGTTTGGGCTGGCTCAAGCTGTTAGTAAATCAGGCCCATTATCTTAAAATAACATAAGTATTTGTATAAGTAACTTTCAGAAACTATTTATAAAATGAATAAGTAGCAATACGTAAAAATTTATTCAAGAAAAACAATAAATGACATTTATTTTGTTTAGATTGTTTGGGGGGTTTTTTGGCATGCAAAACTGAGTGAGCCACACAGAGGTGCAATGCTGTTTAGATCAGGTTTGTGTTGAAGTCATTTATTCACATTATATAACTTAGTGCTCCTTTACGCCACAACTAGGCAAAGTAACTTACACGGGCCTATAGCTGGTGCAACTCGACCCGGAACCCAAAACCATGCTGGTGTTTTCAGCAGGGTGGTTTATCCATATTACTCATATTTTTTTAGCAGATCGCTCTGCCAGTGCCTCTTGCGGTCAGGGAAAAGTTTTGGTATGCGGATTTTCCTGAAATCCTCGATGCATTGCTTCAGCTCGTCCTCCATCACCTTCTTCTCGTCTTCCTCTGGGTCTTTGCATATCGGCCCACCATTCTCTCTGGTAATGGAGGTGGTGGTGGAGGTCATGGTGTTGGTGACTGTGGGTCGGGGAAGTGTTTTCAGAGACAAAGTGGTGGGGCGTGCGGGACTGATAGCGGCCAGTGGAGAGGGGCTCGGGTCCCGGGGCAGGGCCAGGACAGGGCTGTCCAGGGGTGGAAGGGGTGGGGGAAGGGGTGGAAGGGGGTCTGACAGAGATTCATTGTCCAGGTCAAGGGCAATATGTGTGCCATCAAGGCTACAGACTTTAGATATATGTGGGTTATATATGGTCTCCTCCACTGCTCCCTCAATATCTGGATCACTGAAGCAGGGCGACAGGGAGGATTTGCCTCCTGTCAATAGAATAAAACAGAAATTAAATTATATTAATTACACATGTAAATATGTTTGATGATGAAAGGAGGAGCAAATATACAGAAGCACTAAATAATGGCTTTGTGATTTTTTTAAGAGTTATACAGTATATATATATAAAATAAATAAAATAAAAACAGAGAATACAAAAATTCGGTTACACTTTATTTCGATAGTCACTTTAGACATTCTACTAACTATAAGTAACTTTTCAACAACATGTCAACTAACTGTCATTAGAGTATTAGTAGACTGTAGTAGACTGTCATAGACCGGTAGGTTATGGTTAGGTGTTAGGGTTCGGGTTAGAAGAACAAGTTGACTTGTAGTTGCTAAGTTACTTATTGTTAGTAGAGTGTCTGTTGGGGGACCAACAAAATAAAGAGTTAGCAGATATTAAGCAGACAGTCTACTAATACTCTAATGACAGTTAGTTGACATGTAGCTGCTAAGTTACTTATAGTTAGTAGAATGTCTAAAGTGGACTATCGAAATAAAGTGTTACCCAAAATTCCTTTTTTATTATTATTTAGTTAAATTGAAAAGTAATCAAACGGAAAATGGAAAAGTAATCAAGAGAACCAAGTATAACAAAATATAAGATTACACAACATTTCAGTTTATTTTTTATTCAACAATTATATTACATTTAATTCAACGAATTTTTAAACAAGATGCTTTGTTCTCAAATATCAGTTTATATGAAAATAAAAAAAAAATTTTTAAGTGGTTAAAAGAAGCTTTTTTAATTAAGTATTGGTTTTAAAATACTAAAGAATGGACAATAAATGTGCATTACATTAAACATGAAATCTTTAAACATTTTCATCATCCGAATGCCATTGTGAATCATTAGCTTTAAAACAGACACAAATATTTGTAATCATTCAATTGTCATGGTTAAGTGGCTGAAGAGAAGCGCACGATGAAGAAGGATTCAATTCCAATAATCTTTAATCCAAAAGCATGAGAACATATAGGGAAACAGGATAGCACACTCTAACACAGGTGATATGAACATTAATACAGGACAAAGACAAGGCTCAAACTGAAGGCTTATACAGAGAAAACAAGGGAGCAAACAAGATTATTATTTAACGAGGTGATTGACAAAGCACAGGTGAATGGGATTAACTAAAACTGGGTCAAATGGAAAACACAGAAGACAAATGGCAAAACACACATATCCCTGACAGCAATGTGATAAAAAAGTATACTAAATGCATGTAAAAAGCAGACCACAAAAAGCGAACTGTACTCAAATAATTCCCAGACTAATTCTAAGTGATTCAATGCGTAAATTCTCGCTGGTCTTTTGGACAGGGTAAACAGTTTTTGCTTTTGAGCTACTACTGTGGAGGCCAGAGGGACTTCATAGAGAATATTAAATTACATCCCTTTTTTCTGTTTGCATTTTCAAAGCTTTGCCTCTGCTTTGAAAAAGCATTTGGACACTTATGTCGCTCTTAAAAAATGTCTGAAGGTCATTGCTTTAGATACAAAATTTCAAAGCTAGTGCCACTAGTCCTCAAATGCTCCTCTGAACTTCTCTGAATCATTGTTTGCAATCACTTTTAATCAACCGCTGTTTTGGTGATTTTTAGTGGATGCATGAAGTCAGTTCTAGTATCCATAGGATTACTGTAGATCATTAACTATGACATATCACATTAACTATGAACACTAATGCTTCACAAAAACAATGTGCCATGATACCAGTCTCGTTTATATTTATTGATTTTATCATTTTATTTTATATAATTTATTCGCTTATTGTTAAGTCACCTTTATTTATATAGTGCTTATAGATTGTTTCAAAGCAGCTTGTGCTTATAACTTACAGTTATAACCAGGAAAATAATGAATAATGATGCAAACAGAATTCAATTCAATTCCATGTCAAACCCCAAATCACAGCCTCTGTTGATAGAAGTATCTGTAGTCCATCTATGTTTGTTCCCCGAATAGTGAGGTCAAAAAATGTATCTACTATAGGATCTAGAAAAAATCTAATCATGATTAAACCAGAATCGTTCTCGTGTAAACGGGGCCTTACACATTAGATCACTCACACCTAAGGCAGTTATTGAGAATGAAATGATCACAGATAATAGTTTTGATGTACTCTGCCTTACTGAAACCTGGCTTAAACCAAATGACTTTGTCTTAGTCTACTCCACCAGGCTACTGTTATTAGCACGAGGCGGTGTTTCAACAATAGAGATATTATTGTTACTCAGAAAACAAGACACAGGTTTAATACATTTGTGCTTGTGCTAAATGTTTTAGACACTTTCAGAAAAATCACTGCTATCTCTTGCTTTGGCTACTGTGTATAGACCTCTATGGCCCTATGCTGATTTCCTAAAAGAGTTTGCAGATTTTCTCTCAAACCTATTTGTCAATGTCGATAAAGTGCTGATTGTCTTAGATTTTAACATTCACATAGATGAGGCAAATTATGCACTAGGAGATGCATTTAAAGATTTTGGCACTATCTTCTCTAGGTCATTAGAAGCGCTGCACCCATCAAATTAAAAAGGTTTAGAGACAAAGGTACATGGTATTACTCAATGCTCTCAATAGAAAAACGCATAAGAGTGCAAATGTAAACAAACAAATTTAGAGGTCTTTAGATGGAAATACAGTTTGTCCCACTATAAAAAGGCTCTAAAAGCCTGCAGGGCCGAGCATATCCGCAAAACTCATAGAAAAGAACCAAAACAATCCAAGGTATTTATTTAGTCCAATCGCTAGATCAACAAATAAACAGATGTCACTTGAACTGAATATTCCAACACAGTTTAGCAATGACTTTATGAATTTCTTCACTGAGAAAATCAAAAGCATCAGAAATGCAATTGTCAATGTAAAACCTTTGACAGCGTTTTATGATTCAGCTTCTCAAGAACAATTGCAGTGCTTTACAACTCAACACAAAGTGCTAAATAAACGTATCATTGCATCTAAACCAACAACATTTTTATTAGATCAATAAACTACTGAAAGAGTTGTTACCTGCAGCAGAAGAGCCACTTCTCAACATTATTCACTCGTCTCAATTACAACCCCATTTCAAATCTTCCATTTATGTCTAAAATACTAGAAAAAGTGGTGTCTGCTCAACTGTGCTTCTTCTTGCAAAAAAAAAGAAGACATTTATAAAAATTAAAAAATCAGTCTAAATTCAGGTTCCATTATATCACAGAAACTGTTTGTCAAAATGACACTACTTTGATTACTTCTAGCTTCTGGCCAAGGCTGTATCTCAACACTAGCTTTATTTGCTGCGTTCGACACTATAGATCATGACACACTCTTCGATTGATTTCAAAAGTACACTGGTATTCACAGACAGGTGGTTTAGATCATACATATCTGACCGTTAAAATTTTGATATTTAAATGGGGAATTATTGAAGTTAACAACAGTAAATTATGGAGTGCTGCAAGTGCCTGTTTTAGGTCCTCTGCTATTTTCAATATACATGTCCCTTGGTTATATTAAAAAAACATGGAATTAATTTTCACTGTTATGCTGTTCATACTCAGTTAAATATTTCATCACGTCCAGATGAAATCTCTAAATTGTCTAAGTTGACAGAGTGTGTTAAAGATATAAAATATTGGATGACCATTAATTTTCTTCTATTAAATGCAGATAAGACAGAGGTATTATTTATTGGACCAAAAACCTGTACACAGAATCTCTTAGAATACAATTTGCATTTAGAAGGGTGTACTGTTACTTCATCCTCTACAACAAAAGACCTGAGGCCAGTTGCATAAGCATAGCCATTATGTTAGGACAGTGTCTTAAGATCTAGTGTGACCCACTAGCAGTTAGTCAAGTGTCAGACAGTCTTACTTGAATTAAATTGTATTCTAAGAGATTATGTGTACAGGTTTTTGGCCCAATAAATAATACCTCTGTCTTATCTGAATACTTACAAATTAAAGCTGCTTTGAAACCATGTGTATTGTTAAAAGTGCTATACAAATAAATGTAAACTGAATTGAATTGAATTCTGATGTAAAGCAGTTCTGAAACGACAATAGTGTCATTATTCAGTTGACATCAGTTCAGTGTTGATTCAGTTCAGTTCAATGACTGTGTAAATTTCAAAGAGTTCAATTTAGCTATAAGCAGCTCTACTAAAAGACAATAATGTTGTTATTCAGCTTGAGTCAGTTCAATATTGTTTCAGTTCAGATCAATAACAGTGTCGATGTTGCAAAATTTGTCAAGTATGAAACAAAGTCGAATCAGCTATAAACCCAGGCAGCAACACAGTGTCGGCCCAGATCCGGCCCACATCTGGTACGTGTTGAATCCACATGTACCAGATGTGGCCCTGATCTGGGCCGACACTGTGTTGCTGCCTGCGACGAAGCTCTGCATAAAAAAAGTGGTGTCATCATCCAGCTCAATTTAGTTCAAGATTGTGAAATGTTTTGTTGACAAGTGTGCTTGAGCAGTAACAATTTATTTTGATAGTTCTTTTTATATAGTCTACTAACTATAAGTAACTTTGCAGCTACTTGTCATCTAGCAGTCATCAGAGTATTAGTAGACTGTCTGCTTAATATCTGCTAACACTTGATTTTGATGCTCCCCCAACAGACACTCTACTGACTAATTTTGTAACTTATCATGTCAACTTATTCTACTAACACCTAATGCTAACATAACAGTCTACTAACAGTCCGCTACAGTCTACTAATACTCTATTGAGAGTTAGTTGACCTGTAGTTGCAAAGTTATACAGTTAGTAGAGTGTCTAAAGTGGACCATCGACGGTGGACCACCATCTGCCCCGCGCACGGGCATGGCCAGGCTCAGTCTGGTCTGGGCGTGTGAGAAGCAGGAGATTGCTCGTGACCGATTGGATCAGCAATTCCTGAAGCTGTCAGGGATCAATGAGCAGGAGAAAACCTGATCCTGAAATGCCCCGATCTCGCCCTCTTGGCTTTTCGGC